TCGAGGCGCGGTAGTGTCACCAGCTTGACCGGTGCCACCTTGTTTTTTGCGGCCAGCAAGTGGAGTGCCACGGAGCCGCCTCGAGTGATGCGGAGATACACGGCCGCGGCGTATCCTCGCTCGGACGCGTCGGCAAAGCCGTGCAGCTCAACCAGCGCGCTCTCGTCTCCGCTGCCAAGCCAGCGGTTCACGCGCAGTTGAGATAGGAGAGGCAGTTCCTCGAGGAAGAGCCTCCAGCAGTCCGCGTCGGTGGAGGGAAGTGGATCGTCCCAATCCAGTCGCTGTAACCACGCGGACTGAATCAAAATTTTCGCGCGAATCACAACGGGAGCCATCCCAGAGGATCGAAGAGACGTGCGGTTTCCGAGAGAACGCGTCTTTTTGTGAACGACGTGACAGTGCGCGGATGAATCGCGAACGCGAATGTGTCTTCGGTCGGGTGCCACAACAGTCCGAGAGTGGAAAAACTTTCGCTTTCCCACGAGTGCGGTTCGTGGCGAAGTCGGTGCTCGGGAGGAATTCCCGACAGCACTTCCTCGTCGTTCGCGGCCCACTTTCGAAGCGGGAACCCGCCCGCCGTGCACAGCCCGCGGAGCTCGGTTTGTTTCGCGATCGCGCGTGATAAAGTGTTCGCGCCCGAGACAACGTCGTCCACGTAAGTGTCCTCGCGCAATGTGATTGCTCCCTGCGGATATCGCGATTGTTCGTCGTGGGCCAGCTGTTTCAGCGTTCGAATGGCCAAGAAGGGCGCGCATGCGAGACCGTACGTCACCGTCAGGAGCCAGAACACGCACACGAGAGCGCGGAGGGTGCAACGCCAGAGTATGCACTGGTATTTCCTGTCGTCCGGGTGGATGAGGATCTGCCGGTACATCTTTTCGATGTCTGTGACGAAGGCGTAGCGGTGCCACCGCCAGCGCATCAGTACATCGGCTAGAGCGGGCAGCAGGATGGCGCCCACGAGAAGGTGTTGGTTCAGCGACTCGCCGGACGTCGTCAGCTGCGACCCGTTGAATACCACCCGGAGCTTGGTGGAGGTGCTTGATTCTCGGAGCACACCATGGTGAGGTAGGTAGCACTCGGGCATGATCTTGTAGTCTGGAGAATCGGAAGCTAACTCCATATGTTTCAGCTCCTCGTATTCCCGCATGAACTGGCGGTAGAGCTCGCCGAACCGGGGGTCCTTCTCGCATTTCCGCTCCATTGCGGTGAGCAGGCGTTCAGCCGGTCGGCGTGTCTCCGACAACTTCGTCGGTTTCTTGGAGAACGGCAATCGGACCACGTACCTCCCCGTCTCCGTGCGAGAGTGCGTTTTCACGTAGAAGTCCTCGCACTTCTGTTCGTCAGGCGTGAGGGCGGCGGGAGCGGAAGGCTCTGCTTCTTGCTCCCAGAAGCGGCGCACGAGATCGGCCAACTCGTGGTCGGCCGTCGCTTGGAAGCTGCCGCGCGTGTGGAGGGCTGAAGCACCGCAGCCACCGGAGAGAATCCATCCGAAGGCCGTCTTCTGCGCGATCGGAGCGTGCGGTCCGCCCTTTCGAATGCCCTCTTCGAGGATGGTGGAGCACACCTCTGCTCCGAGAAGTAGCTCGACCGGGTCTCCAGCCGAAAACTGCGCATCGGCTAGAGGCAGCCCTTTGAGATGGGGCCACGTGGCGGGGCTCTTCGTCGCCGAGCCTTGGTAGAGAGAAAGACGGGGCAGCACGAACGCGACGGCGGTAATTGTGGCTCCGGTCGTCACGGACGTAAGGCTCACCGTCACCTTCCCGCGGGTTGGTTCGGATTTCGACCCCCCGATTCCGAAAATCGACACGGCGGAGCGAGATCGTTGCAGGTGCAAGCGCTGCACGAGAGATTCGGCGACAATTGAGACCTCAGACCCTTGGTCGATGAGGGCTCGCACAGGGTGAGGGTCTCCATGGCGGTCGGCGATGGTAACTCGCGCGGTTGCGAGGAGGATCGCCTTGCGGTCGTCAGCAGAACGCACGGCGGACAGCGCGCTGACCTCGGTAGACGGCGACGCGGGAACGTAGGCTTCGTGAAGCATCGTGTGATGCCGAGCCTTACACGTGAAACAGTTCTTCGACGATTGGCACTTCGCGACGGTGTGATTGCCAAGGCAATTAAAACACAGCCGACTGGACTCTACAACCGTCTTTCGCTCGGTGGCGGACTTGGCTTTGAAATCGCTGCACGTCATCAGCGAGTGTTTCCCCTTGCACAGGGCGCACTGCGGATCGGAGCTGTCTTTCGACCCTTGTTTCGCGACGTGGGTCTTCGCGGACCGAGTGGAATCGGGAGCTTTCGCGGCGGGTTTCGGTTTCGCGGCGTTTAGCGTGAGGATGCGCTTCGACATGAAGTCCGTGAGCTTCTCGTGCTCCGGCGGCTCGACGGAATCCGAGACAAATGATTCCCACTCGAGTCGCGTACGCTGATCGAAGAGCTCGACAACCAGGTGGTTGAAGAGGTCCATTCCGTGGGACTTTATGGGCCTCCCGATGCTCTCCTGCGCATTGACTGCGGTGGTGACGGCGTTATGGATGCGGCTCAGCTCGTCAGCGGTTTCTCCTTTCATTTTCGCCACGGCGGTAAACGTGGCGAAGTTGGAGCGTATCAACTCCCGCTTGTTCTCAAAATGTTTATTTAGAATAGCCCACGCGCGGTCGTAATTGTCCCCGGTCACCGTTAATGAACTCACTAATTTTTCAGCGGGCCCTCGCAGACACGATCGGAGGTAATGGAGCCGCTCC